AGGAACTGGAGCATGCGCCAAACCCAGACGGTGGCGGGATGGCTGCATGTCTCTACGAGGGTGTCACTAACGGCGTCGGTGGTGCGCATAATCCGGCCTCCTTACTTCACCTTCCCGACAGTCCCTCACTGAACATAAACAACGAAACTAGTCGAAATCTGCTGGTGGCACGGCTGACTCTCTGGCAACGCAAGCGTCGTGAGGAAGAACTCAGCGCCGGATGGAATGCCTGGTGGGCCCAGAGCTCGGGACCCCGAATCCTCAGTTCTACTCTGCGAAAATCCCCGGAGGTTTGTTCTATGTCCTGACGTTACTTTAATAACCACCGAGACGGACATCTATTAGCAGCTGTTTCTTCAGCTGGCGTTTCTATCTTGTGGTGGGTAAATGCGATTGTTTGTGCCTTCTACGACAAGGCATTGCTATACTCGACTTGCAGCTTGAAGTTTCCTTATTACCTGAGTGGTGTCAATGGAAGTTCAGTTCTAGAATTCCAATTTAGTTATGCATGATTGTCTTCTCAGCAGGTACACAACCTATTCCGATTATTTTTATCCCCCGTAATAATCGTTGTTTATACGGATGGCATTACCAGTAAAGACGAGAGAGAGGGACTGTAGTGGCCATTTCTGACTAAGTAGCGGTGTCAGTCAGTCCTTCCCAACTCCAAGTGGTGTACAACCCGAGGCTCGAACTCGCGACCTTTTTAATCAGAAGTCTAACGCTTTAACCATTGGGTTAGATGGATATGAATGAAGAAGGAGGGTTGTCTAGCACCGGATAAATTTGTTTATTGCTCTGAGCTTTCGGGCTCTTGTGGGAGTCCATCGTCAGAGATAAAAGCGTCCACAACAAACAGGCAACAGTTAAAGGAAGCAGGAACCAATATACCGTTATACCGGAGAGAGAACTCATTAGGCACCTGTCTCGCCCGTGCGGATATGCCTGCGGAGAGCGATGTAAGCCGGCGCCAGATCGATAGATCGATTGACTGAATTCTCATCCGAGGCCCAGGCTTCAATCAATAGATATAACTGGCTGACGACGGATAATGAGCCAGAAATGGTCATTCGAGTATTATCTGTCTCTGCCGGTAATCCTATCCGCCTAGACAACTAGCCGCTGTGGAGCTGCTGCTTGGGGCTCCAGGGTGAACTCATTAGCGATCAGTAGATGCTCATCAACCACTGTTAATCCTAGTTTCCTCGACATCTATCATCCCTGTTCTGTCTTCAATGATAATAAACGCCTTCACGGAGGCACCCAGCTGATTATCTGAGTGGTGTAAATAGAAGTTTAGTTGTGGAATTCCAATTTATTTGTGCTTGATTGTCTCCTTAGCAGTCCAAAACTCCCTCCGATCATTTTTATCTACCTGGATAATCTTGGCTTGGGCAGATACCATTGCCGGTATAAACAAGGCAGACTGGAAATAGCATTTCTGCCTCATTAGCCGTCGTCAGCCAGTTATACCAAACCCCAAGTAGTGCACCACCCGAGGCTCAACCTCTCGACCTTTTGATCAGAAGTCTAACGCTTTAACGATTGGGTTAGTTGTATATGACTGACTGACGACGGCTAATGAACCGCAAATGGCCATCTCAATCCTCTCTCATTGTCGGCAAGGCCTTCCGCCTACACAAAAAGCCGCTGTAGAGCTGCTGGCTGGGGCTCCAGGGTGAAGTTAAAGGCAGAACGGAACAAGGCTTTCCATTAGCGATCGGTGCATGCTCATCAATCAGTGTTAATCCTTAAGTTACGCTGTCCAACAATCTTCCCTTGATTTCGCTTTTTAGAGTGTAGCTGCTTTACTGTTTCGGTTTTCTTCCCCCGCTTGCCTCCTACAGTTTCTGGAGATCTTCCAGATGCTCTGGCTGCTGGACCCCTTCCTCGGCCTGAGTGACGCCCTCACTACGGCCACCCAACTACAGGAGGCCACAAGTTTGTCCGG